TAATTAAAATAGAATGGTCAACTGTATCAAAAGCTGCAGTCAAATCTAATAAAACTAAAACTGAACATTCACCAGCATCCTCTGCCATCAATAAATCATTAGTCACTCATAAAAGAGCAGTTTTAGTACTATGGTCTGCTCTAAAACCAGACTGAAATCTCTCAAAAATTTTATTCTCATTAACGACCTTCAGCAATTGCTTCACTACTGCCTTTTCTATTATTTTTTAAATAAAAGGTAGTTTAGAGATAGGTCTATAATTATTTTCAACTGCAGGATCTAATGAAGGCTTCTTCAGGAGCGGTTGGACCGTAGCAATCTTTAGCTCCTCCGGAACACATCCAGAAACAAAAGAACTGTTCACTATAGACAGTAGAATAGGACCTATAGATCCAACCACTTCTTTAAACAGTCCGGAACCACATCATTAAACAACTAGAAGGTTTCAACTGTTGCACAATCTCACAAATATCCTGCTCTGATACTGGTGAAAAGGAATCCAACAATACCTCCCTACAACCTGGATTATCCTCACATTGAACCAAAGGAGGGGAAATTGAAGCCCTTATATTTGCGAACTTGTCCACAAAAAATGACATAATAGATCTACAATCTATAGGACTCAATGCAATACTAGGCCACGGGTTTGTCAAATCGTTAATTGCATTAAATAAAAACCTAGAATTGTAACGGTTGGTTTCAATTAAATTAGAAAAATAAGCAGATCTCACAGCTTTAACTGTCTTATTAAAAGACACCAATAAACCCTTCCAACGCTCAAAATACACATGAAGTCTAGTAGACTTCCAAATTCGTTCTGCTTTCCGACACTTTCTCAGTGTTCATCTGTTCATTCACTTATGATCTCCTGATTTCTGTTTCTATGTGCTGCTGTGACATGAAGCCGAGATCTCTGAACAGCTAAAGCAAATGAGTAAGTTGAATTTAATATAAAAATGTCATAGGTTTGACACATCACTTAATTTATGTTTAAAATATATAAATGAGCATTTACTAGTAAATTATGTGTTAAGTATTATTGGTGACACTTAACAATAAAGTCCTATTAGTTAATGTTACTAACATTAACAATGAGTAAGACATTTCTTTAGTGGGTTAATACCTAACATTTTTAATGTTAGTTAATAGTAAACTGCTCATTATTACTTCATGTTAGATCAGATCCATTAAATAATATTTACAGGTGTAACTTTTGATTTTAACAATATATTAGTGAATGTTGAAGTTAACATGAAGTATTTTTTGTTGTTCATATTAACTAAAGTAGTTCAATAGTGTTAACAAATGAATCCATATTATAAATTGTTTCTGTATTGTTTGTTGCTAATACACATTGATGATTTAACTAATGTGCACATATACAACATTACTGTAATTGTTACTTCTCATTAATATAAAGTCATTCAGATGAAGAACTGATTATTAGAAGCACATGAAGAATCACACAGCATCTTCTCAGTGTTTCTGTCATGTTCATCTGTTCATTCACTTATAATCTCCTCATTTCTCTGTTTCTCTGTGCCGCTGTGACATGAAGCGGAGGACTGTGAAAAAGAATTACGTGAGTATTAAAACTGATGCAGCAAGAGTTTTGTTGTGAAACAATAGTTCATAAATGTACCATGAAAACAAGGTTGGTTACAATATATTTTGTCAACTTCACAAAATTTTAAAGATAAAATTTATATTTTTACTCTGACCATTCACATGTTGTTTTGTTCAATGTAACAGACTGGAGTGCCAAATGAGGCACTACTATACACTATGCACTTGTACACTATGTACTTATGCACTATGTACTCAACCATATAATGTGTGAATTTTATAAAGTTATTTTGTCTTTCATAATTGCAGTTTGATAGCCCCTCCCCCTCTGCTACATAATTAAAGCAGTGAAATTTGAGTGCATGAAGTGTCCAACCAGTGTTGGGGAAAGTTACTTTTAAAAGTAATGCATTACAATATTGCGTTACTCCATAAAAAATAACTAATTATGTTACTTAGTTACTTTTTATGGAAAGTAATGCGTTATATTACTTTTACGTTACTTTTTCTCATCTGGGCTGGGCTTGCTTGTTTTTTTTTTTAAATATAAAAAGTTCTATTTTTGGCAAATGTAAAAGTCCTTTCACACCAAAAGTGAAATGAATAAGCCTCAGGCTGAAGGAAATATAAATTCACATCTGTACAGTAGAGGTTGCAGCTCAAACAAGTCTGTCATAGTATTCAGCTGGTGTGCCCTCTTTAGCCACTAGAGAGCGCTTCTCCCTTCACGGACATTCTGTTATGAACTCCATTTCCCAGACTACATTGCTCTGTCTCATGTGAGATTTTTTTTATTATTATTTTTTTTATTATGCTTTAAAGGACAGATACAAAACAATACAACAGACATTATAAAGCCAGGGTAACAAAGGATAAAAGAAAAAAAATATATAAGAAAATAGAGAAAAAAAAAATACAATCAGAGACATGCGTAACCTTTACATTACTCAAAGATTTTGAAGATAGAACACAAACTTTTTAATTGCCTTTCTATTAGTACTATGTTAAATAGTACACAAGTAATTTTCCAACTCTTTATAAAACACTGTAAAACAGGGTTTTTTATTAGAAAATTAACACGTATGAATGTGAAATTTAACCAACAAAATAAAAAGATTAATAACAAAAACTTCATCATTACATTATTAAAATATCCAAAAACTACATTTTCGAAATTAAAGAGTACCTTTTCTTTGATAAACATAGAGACATCATAACATAACTTTTTAACATAACTACAGTGCCAGAAGATGTGGGGTACAGTTTCCAAGTGCAAAGAGCAAAAAGAGCAATTAACATCAATATCCTTCTTAAACTTACTGAGAAAATTTTTAACAGGATAGAATTTATGAATTATTTGGAAACAGATTTATTTTATCTTGTTTGTAACATGTGAGATGATTGCTTGCACCTGCTTCCATTTGGATCATTAGGGTCCTGCCTATATAAGCTGTGTTTGTCTCTACCATTGTCATTGAGGTTTTACATTGTTACACTGCCTTCTGAGTAGGGTTGTGCTGATAGATGATAGTATCGTGTATCGACGATAGTAGATGTCTTTGTCGATAGTCAAGACGATATTAGGCTCATTCTCCTACTAATGTATTGAATAATAATAATAATAATTATTATTATTAGGCGGCCCATTATAATTCGGCTATTATTATCAAATTGCCCCGCTTTTTCATTCAGCACTGTCACACACACACACGCGCGCAAAAATGAGGAGCCTGTAGCCGGTGAAGGAGTCTCCAACCACAAACACAGACACATATAGCCTGCTGATATAAGGTATTTCGTTGCACTTTAACAAGTAATCTGAACAGCCTATATATGTGCAATATTTTAACCGAGCCCTCATTGAGTTTAATGCCACATTTATGTTAGAAAGCATCTCATTCTTGTTTCTGTGGTGGTGCGTCGGGCTCATCATGGGGCGCGCGGTCCTGAGCGCTGTATGACTGTTGTATCTGCTTAATTTAAATTTACTCCAAATATATTAACTTACCTGTTTTAAATACTTTATATTTAACGTGTTCGTTTATGTCCAATATTTAGTGTTAAACTGTTGGTCTTTAAAATAAATCTACTTTTGATTTTCACCGTTGACTGATTTTGCAGACCTTTTAGACTGATAACTTCCGAGCGTCGATGCGGCAAACTTGTCACAGGACGCGCGGTTCTAATAGCGATGTATGATTGTTGAATCCGAATATATATGAACTAGCTGTTTTAAATATTTTTGTATATAACATGTTAGTTTATGCGTATGTTTGAAAGTATATTATTTAGATTCGTGGTGCTTCCATAGGCTCCCTCTCTCTCGTGCACGTGGTTTAAAACACCAAATAGTTATGAAATAGCCTATGACAAGTACAGGGAGTCTCTCCCACCCATGCACGATAATATCGTCTATCGGCGATCTCACGGACTGGCGATATGACGATTTGAAAAATGACCATATCGCCCAACACTACTTCTGAGTTCTTTCGGACTTGTTTATGTTTCATGGTTTTTGGATCTCTTGCCTGTTTTGTGGATTATCCTTTTGCCTTGCCCTCTGGAATTGTTTATCTTTTGGATTTACTGGTTTCGACCTTCTGCCTGTTCTTAGACCATGTACTTGGATTTTGCCCTGTTTTCAATAAACGCTGCACTTGGATCTGCAACTTATAAATCTCAGAGCAGTTCATATGACAGAAAACGTCAATCCCCTTAGATCCAGCAGCATGAATCTCCGTATTGCTTCTCTTGCATCTAAGAAGGAGCTAAGGGTGAGACGTCAGGGATTGATTGCCCTGCGTCAGAAAGGTTCGGGTGTAGGTGTATTTGCTCAGTTGTTTTGGACTATGGCCGTAGGACTCAAGTATGATGGTCCAGAGCTTATCGACATTTTAACAACTGCCTGGACTACCCTTTACCTTCATCCGAGCTGGATGAGCTTAAGACTTTGGGTTTTTGGGGTTTTATTGACTACCTCACGTACTGACATCAATTGGCTAGGAGGATCGAATGGTTTTTTTTAGCAGCCAAGATGGCTGCTATGCCAGAGTCTCCAGCTAGCATGGGTGTTACGACAGAGCTTTCAGCCGTCATGGACACCACCTTTGTGTTCCCGTTCATCATGAACGGCACCACTTAAGCTATTAAGGTAACCCCAAGGCATTTGAGACTGGTCTCTAAGTTAGAGGAGACGGCCCTGACATCGGTATGTGCCGTTAAGTCAAGCATAAGGGCCTCTGCGACAGTTCTGCTGTTTACTGTGCCTCTCACTATGGCAATGAACATTGTGAGTATGGGGACTGCAGATTGTTATTCAGCCTGTGAATCCACTCCAGTGTTTGTACCAGCCCAAGAATCTACTCCAGAGCCTACTCCTGCCAATGAGTTTGCTCTGGAGTCTGCTTCTGCCCTTGAGTTCACTCCAGAGTCAAGTCCAGGTCAAGAGTCCACTCCAGAATCCGCACCAGTCCAGGAGCCCTCAGAGTCTGCTCAAGAGCCCGCTCCCATCCAGGAGTCCTCAGAGTCCACTCCAGAGCCCACTCTAGTCCGGGAACCCTCAGAGTCCACTCAAAAGTTCACTCCAGTCCAGGAGCCTTCAGAGTTCACTGAAGAACACGCTCCAGTCAATGAGTCTGCTCCAGAGCCTGATCTGTTCCATGAGTTCGCTCCAGAGCCTGCTTCAGCCCATGAGTCTGCTCCAGAGCTCGCCCCAGTCTGAGTTTGATCCAGAGCCAGTTCCAGTCTGTAAGTTCACTCCAGAACCCACTCAAGTCTACGAGTTCACTCCCGAGCCTGCTCCAGTCTATGAATCTGTTCCTGAGCCCACTCAAGTCTACGAGTTAATTCCAGAGTTTACTCCCATCTATGATTCTGCTCCAGAGCCCACTCAAGTCTGAGTTTTTTTCCAGAGCTCACTCCAGTCTATGGGTCCACTCCAGAGTCAGTTCTGGTCTATACAAGTTCATTCGTCATGGTCGATTCCGCTCCAGAATCCGCTCCAGTCCAGGAGTCCACTCAAGTTTTTGAATTCACCTCCGATCTCGTTCCTGTCCAGGAGTCTGCTCCTAAGACACCTCCAGTTGCTCCTGAGGTGGCGGCTTTTGCTGCAGAGCCTCCCGAAGCGGCGGCCGATTCAGCTCCCCTCTGGGCGATGGCACCCACTCCTGAAATCTCAGTCTGCCCCAACACGATCAGAGAGGTCGTACCGGCACTTCCTGTTTGCTTCATGACCGCAGAGGTAATGCATGAACTGTCTGTCTGCTTCAACACGACTAGAGAGCTTGTAAATTAACTTTATGGGAAGACCTTAGTGGCCAACCTGGGAAGCCCTATGGAGGGCGCCTCTGAACTCCTTACCTGTTCTGTTACGGCCCCTGTGGCCAATACTAACCTCTCTGTGCCTTGTGTTACAGGCTTGCCTGGTCTAACCATGCTTGTTCTGACAGATCTGCCCTGGGAGTCTTCGATTTCGTCATGGTTATTTTCAGCCCTGCCTGCTCCATCGTGGGAATCTTCGAGCCCATCTGCGTGGCTGTGGTGGTCAACTGCTCTGCCGTGGGGACCTTCGAGCCAGTCTGCGTGGCTGTGGTGGTCATCTGCTCCACCGTGGCGATCTTCAAGCCCATCTGCGTGGCTGTGGTGGTCATCTGCTCCGCCGTGGGGATCTACAAGTCTGTCTGTGCTGCTGTGGTGGTCTTCTGCTCCGCCATGTGGGTCTTCAAGCCTGTCGGTGCTGCTAGGGTGGCTTTCTGCTGGACCCTGGACATTTGCTGCTTGTATTACCCAGTTAGCCCTGGAGTCCTGCATGGCCATCGTTTTCTGTTTCCCTTCTCCTGGCCCACCATCCCGCCCCCAGATGCACCTCTGTTCCACCTCCCTCCTGAACTTTTCTGAATTCGGGTGGCGTGTCTGGTATCCGCTCCGTAAGGGGGGGTAGTAATGTCATAGTATTCAGCTGGTGGGCCCTCTTTAGCCACTAGAGGGCACTTCTCCCTTCATGGACATTGTTATGAAATCCATTTCCCAGACTGCATTGCTCTCTCTCATGTGAGATGATTGTTTGCACCTGCTTCCATTTGGATCATTAGGGTCCTGCCTATATAAGCTGTGTTTGTCTCTACCAGTGTCATTGAGGTTTTACATTGTTACACTGCTTTCTGAATTATTTCGGTCTTGTTTGTTTTTTGGATCTCTTGCCTGTTTTGTGGATTATCCTTTTGCCTTGCCCTCTGAAATTGTTTATCTTTTGGATTTACTGGTTTTGACCTTCTGCCTGTTCTTGGACTGTGTACCTGGATTTTGCCTGTTTTTAATAAACGCTGCACTTGGATCTGCAACCTATAAATCTCGGAGCAGTTCATGTGATAGAGTCTTTCAGTTGTGCTGCCATTCTGGATTGCATGAAGAATATGATGCAGGAAAAGACAGTTCAACACTCTTCAAAAAGAAAAAAAACACATCAAAAGTTGTTTATCTAAAGTCATTTTTTGTTATATTGTTGAATTGAATCACCGAAGTTCAGCAGCAAAGACATTGGTTAATAAAATGTGATGTGTCATATTTTGAGTTTGTATTTCACTTTTTTTTCCATTTTGAGGAATACTGAATCTGTTTTTGTGCAAGAGACATGAGTAAATGCATGTTCACATTTAGTCTAGAACTACAGTAAGCATCATAATTACACAGTGCACACAAGACCTCTGCACTTACTCCTGATTTCTCTCAACATGGGGACAGGAGAGCTGTCAGCCAATAAACCGGAAAAGGAAGTTTCCCAGTGAAAGATACAGGAGTCATTTGCAGCACTCCACAGTCATCTTTATTTTTGGATCAGATACAGTGTTGTTGTAGGTCAGTTTTTACCTTTGCCTTGCCATCCTCAAAGGTTAGTGATGAGATACATTTCAGCAATGTGTCAAGCCCCAATAAAGGTTGTGTAATTTCTCCAAGCCAAACTCTTGTTTCCATTTCATGAGGTCCAATGCACATTATAATTGGTTCGGTTCTTCTCAAAATGATATCTCCCACCCCTGCTCCATTTGCGTTGATGTGCTCCTGAGTCATAGAAAGTTTGATGTTGTTAGCCAGTTTTGTAGGTATGACAGTTAACTCAGTTCCGGTATCCAATAAAAACTGAACATTAACGTCATTTATTGTTACACATGCATAAAGTCCATCACCTTTTTGATGAACTGCTGCTAGCAGGTGTTGCAGAGAGGGGTTGCTTAGTTTCCCTGCAACTCAACTGCATTGAGTAAGGACTGTTTTTGCTCTTGGGTGAGCATCTGGAATCTTTTATCCATGTCATCGTTACCTGCATTTTGATCTCTCAGCCTCTTTTTGCAATCCTGAATCCAGTGTCCTTCTTTGTTGCAATATTTACATCTTCCTTGTACTGTGGGTAACGCCGGACCTCCTGCTGGTCATTTATGCTGTTGTTACTGTACCTTGAGGATCCAGATTGCAAAGCTATGATTTTAACATATTGTGTCCTTTCAATCTTTACGGACCATTCAACAATCTGATTAAAGGCTGTTCCAAAGCTGTCCCAGTCATCATACCTGATTTTAAGAGCTTTGAATTTCAGGTTTTAGCCCATTAAAAATGCAGTCTTCAAAGGCATACTAATATCATTGTCAAGATCTTCACTGTTATTTAAACCAGCATGTTCCAACCAAGTTTGTCTGAAACGTTCCTCATAATCTACAACAGTTTCCCCTGTCTTCTGAATGCAAGAAGTCATTTTACTCCAGTTAATCTCTGCAGGTTTCAGTTCAAACAAAAAGGTCTTGACAGCTTCCCCTCCTGCCTCAATGTTCTCTTGGGACTCACCAACCCTGTTTTCAACATGTCCAGTTAATCTTTTTTGGTCATTGTCCCTTAAATTCAACATTAAGAACAATTGCTCCATCTAATTGATGTAGGGTGTAAATTTTCTGCAGGCGCTGAAGGACTTGCCAAACCTTTCGTGGTTGTTTGTATACATCTGGTAGTTCCTTTGACCAGTTTTCAATTTGTTCTGGTGTAGCTGGTTGGTATAATCTGCAAGGGACATGTTTTTCCGAGAGTTCGTCTCTCGCCATTCTCCTCATACTCCTCATTATCCATCTCAATTTCAGTTCTTCTGTTTTTTTTACAATAACAGGAGCGAGCCTAGCCTTTAAATTTTCATTTGTGACATGAGTTTATGTGCTGCTGGATGATTCTTGCTCACTGTCATCAGGGCTTCCTGTGGAATAATTGTCACTTTCTCCCATCAGGTAATGGTGTTATTGATTCTCTATTTCTCGGAGTTCTTTGAATGGATAGAGTGACTCTTGTTTGTCTGGTTTTCTGATTTTTAAAATTTACTTAGGTTCTGACACTTTAGATATTTCCATATCTTTCAATGGAAGGCAAATTAACTTATAGGCTAGTTCCTTAATTTTGGCACTAGGTGTTAAGGAGATTTAACCAATCACAGATCATTTTATTGGTGACGTTGAGAAAGGACGATAGGTGCGAGCTAGAAAGTTCCGATCCCTCCTGTCAGCAAGCGGAGCAAAGCGAATGAACGTGTATTCCTGAGTTCCTGATCTTAACCTTGGAATTTTACCTATTTGTGTGCGTTCATGTGGAAATGTAAGTCTATTTACTTCTTTGCGCCATTTAATATAGTTATCTGCCATGTTACCGTTTTATTCAGCGTAAATTACCGAGTTTATTGTCTCCTCAGAGTTCTCCGAACTCACGCTGACCCAGTTACCATAAATATTATAGTTTGTGCATATAAAGTTATATATTCGTTTTATTCCTTATGTATTATTGCTTTGGTGCAACATAAACCAGTTAATAAGTGTTTAGATATTGGTATTTATCATATTCTCTGTAATCCCTTTCATATATGATGATGACTCAGCACTTTATAATAGACACAGAGAAATTGCCAATCCCTGTTATACATGCTAAATGCGCCATCTAAAGGGAAATTTAAGTATTGCAGTCCACTAATAATTGTGTCTGATGTATAATATCATGTATTTATGTTGTAACTATATTATTGTGATATGTTATTTATTGTTTATTTCAGACCACACATACAAACAGTAAAAAGTCAGACTGTTCTGAATCCTGTATCGTGTTTTTACTGACACCCTGGGGTGAGCACAATCTCCCGATCAGCATATATAGTTCAGACTTCCCTACACTAGGCCATCCCTTTTTTAAAAAAACCTTGGTAGAATCTTTATTCCCAATCCAAATAGTGGCTACTGATTAGCACCCAGTCAAGAATCCTAAATTCTTGCAGCAATCAGTCCCAAACTATTTCTTATTTCTACAACACAAATAGTGGCTACCGACTAGCACCAAGTCAAGAATCCTAAATTCATGCAGCAATCAGTCCCAAACTATTGCGTATTCTGCAGCTTCTACAGTCTTTGGATGTATGAAATTGTTTAACAATTCCTACAGATATTTAGAGAAAGGACCAAGCCTCTGCTTCTACAATCTCAAGATGAAAGGACCAAATTGATTCTTTAACAACTCCTACAGACCAAGAGCAAGGACCAAGCCACAGCTTCTACAGTCTCCAAATAAACAGACTAATTTGTTTCTTTAACAATTCACTCAACTCCAGAGAAAGGATCAAGCTTAATTAACAGTGCCACACTAAGAACATTGGTCAGCTTCTTTCAAAAATGTGTTCTTTTAAGAGAGCTGATACGTTTCACACACCAAATTAGGATCACTGAGATGAAGTCCAAATGATTCAAATAAATTCTGTCCACGGACTCAGTCTGTTGATCTTTAGTTGAAGCTGTAGAATCTCCCAGATTCTTCTGTTCACTTCTTGTTGCTGTGATGTTGGTGAGATGTCTTCTTATCTGTATCTCCTGGCTGGCTCGCCAAATTGTTAGATGTTGCTGTATTTGGCTGAGCAAAGGTTTGGGTGGCTCGCTAATGTATTAGAATGCTTCTAATACATAAAAGTAAGCCGGACCAAGGTCAGGGGAAAAGAGTTTATTGAAGATACTCGTGTAGCATAGTCGTCTTCTAGATCTTAATCCATGGTACTGTCTGTGTCACCAGACTTTTTATATGAGATTCTGCCCCCACTCCTGTAGGTGTAGTATTTGGCCTGATGAAGCTGTCTGAGTTTTGCTGTGAACCATGGTTTGTCATTGTTGTAGGTTAAATGAGTCATGGTAGAAATGCACATATCCTCACAGAAACTGATGTATGATGTTACAGAGTCTGTGAGCTTATCTGATCAGTGCAGTCAAAGCAGGCTTGTCCGGAATGGCTTCGTTCAGCCATGTTTCCATGAAACACAGAACAGCAAAGTTTAAAAAGTCCTTATTAGTTTGGTAGAGGAGAAATAGTTCATCCTTTTTGTGGGTTAGGGACCATAGATTCGCCAGATGTATGTCAAAGATGGTGACTTT